CCCTGCGGCTGGCACCCCGGGGCTGCTCGCGCCTGGGACCGCAGGATCCCTGCCAGGCTCCGGGGAAAAGCGCCGCCGCCAGCGCAAGGGCATCTCACAATGCGCTGGTTACAGTCGCCTCCCACGGAGATTGTTCCCTCCGCCCCCTTCCCTCCCTGGCGCGCTGCTGCGGGAGAAGGGGGGCAGGGGCCCGTCGGAGAGGCTGCAGCCTTCCCCAGTCTGCCAGGGAAAGTTAGCAACAGAGAAGGAGCCAGGACGCCTGGGTCCTATCCCAGCTCTGGGAGGGGAGAGGGGCCTAGGGGTTAGAGCAGGGAAGAACTGGGAGTGAGGACCCCTGAGTCCTATCTCCAGCTGGGGGAGGAGGGATGGGGAGTGGGGTCTAGTGGTTAGAGCAGGGAAGAACTGGGAGTGAGGACCCCTGAGTCCTATCTCCAGCTGGGGGAGGAGGGATGGGGAGTGGGGTCTAGTGGTTAGAGCAGGGAAGAACTGGGAGTGAGGACCCCTGAGTCCTATCTCCAGCTGGGGGAGGAGGGATGGGGAGTGGGGTCTAGTGGTTAGAGCAGGGAAGAACTGGGAGTGAGGACCCCTGAGTCCTATCTCCAGCTGGGGGAGGAGGGATGGGGAGTGGGGTCTAGTGGTTAGAGTAGAGTGGGGATGGGAGCCAGGATTCCTGGTTCCTTCCTGGCTCTGGCACCGTGTCCCTATGTGACCAGAGCACAGGCCCTTTGGCTGAAGGGCTGTTCACCTCTCGGCCCCCAGCAGGGAGAGAGGGTTATTTCCACCCCCCCCCCGCTGCCTGGCAGCCTGTGTGTGTGAGACAAGTGGGGGGGAGGGGGATGCTCAGCCCAGCTCACCCCCAGCATCCTCCCCGTTGTGATGGGTGCCCTGGCAGCCACAGGGGAGAGGCTCCAGACCTGAGGAGACAGGAGTCAGGGACAGCGAAGTCCCAGCTTACCCCAGAGACGGCCCCTTAGGGGGCAGGAGCCTGGATGCCCCTTGGGGAAGGCACATGAGGCTTGGTTGGTTACTGCCCATGGGGCCACCTCTCCTCAGCCAACTCCCCTCGTGCCGCAGGGTGCCTGGAGCTTGACACGCTGGGCAGGGTCCCTGGTGGGCGCAAGTCAGCCAAGCCTCATTGCGAGCAACAGAGCCACTCGGATGCACACCAGCCAGGGGGCTGCCCCATGGACTCCATCGGCCATGAGGCTGGTTTCGGCTTGGCCGTGCTGAGCTGCACACCCTTGTCCCTGTCCATGGCCCCTAGAGCTGGGGCTGGCAGCAAGGTGGGGCCTGGTGGTGGATCCCTCAGGCACAGGCTGGCAACTAGGCAAGTCTCTGGGGCTAAGCATGGTGGGGGGCCCATGGCCGAGCAGGACCCAGGGCTGGCAGCAGAGCCCCTGGGGGGTGGGGATGCAGGGTTGGGATGCCCAAACCTGCAGCACCCCCTGCACCCTACTTCCTGCACTTCGGCCCACTTATCCCAGGTAGGGATGTGGCCTCCTGCCTTATGTCAGGGCCTGGTGTTTGGTTATTCATGCTGCAGCCTCTCAGGCTGGGAAAATGGAGCGAGAATCTTTAAACCAGCTGTTGGGAGCCCACCATGGGGCCTATAACAAAGCTGTTCAGGTCAGAGCCATACTGCATGGGTATCCACACCCCCCCCAATCCAGAGCAAACCCCCAAAGCCCTGGGGCCAGCAGGCGCTGGGCTGGGGGCAAATCCCAGAACAGGCAGGGTGGTTTTGTGGGTTGTTCTGAAATCTCCACCAGGAACAGCTGTGCGGTCTTGCTTGAAATGCTGCTTCCTTGCACTGGGAATGTTGTGCTTTGCAAAATGAGAGCATCAGACTTGCTCCAGAAATGCAGCCACCTCTGGGGCAGGACACAACTGCAGTTTAACAACTGCATAGCAGCACTCCAGAGAGATGACTTGCCCGGGCTGAAATACAGCTTCTTGCGGGGTGGCGGATGGTGACTGCATGAGGGGGGGTCGGCTTGCTTTAGCGCTGAATGCGGCCACTTCTGGGGTGGGACTTGGCAGCTGCTTAACATCAAGCAGTGACACTGCACAGGGATTGCTCACTCAGCACTGAAATGCAGCCTGTTCTGGGGTGGGGGGTGACAGCTAATTAGCAGGTGCACAGCCAAGAGGAGGCATGATCATTTGCTCTGTGCTGAAATGTAGCCACCTCTGGGGTGGGACATGGCAGCTATTTAACAGACTCCCAGGAAGGCTGCAATGAGAGCACTTGCTCGTTCCTGAGCTACAGCCACCTCTGAGGGTGAAGAGAGGGGCAAAGTGCAGCAGCTGTGGAACAGCCACACTAGCCAGCGATCACCCGAAATAGAAGTGCAGCCACCTCTGGGGTGGGGCACAGCAGCTGTTTAACAGCCACACTGCACAGAGATGGCTCACTCAGCACGGAAATGCAGCCACCTCTGGGGTACGGCAGCTGTGCTGAGGTGAAAGGCTCCATCTCTGCATGGCCCCACCTCCCTTGCCCGGACTCCGCGCCCGCAGGCTGCTCTTGGCCCCGCACCCCGGCTGCTGACGCCCGAGCTAATCCCTTTGCAGTGCCTTAGCCGGTCACGGGGGCTGCAGTGTTTCATCATGCCCGCTGCTGGGGGCACGATTTCATAAATGGGTCTAATCCCTGCTGCCGCAAGTCCCTGGCAATGCCCTCAATGGGCTGTTTTGTTCCCCCGCGGGGCGGCTTGGCAGGACCCATGGAGGGGAAGGGAGGATCAGAAAGATCCCTCTGGAGTGATGCATGTGCACCCGTCCGCTTCAACTCGGGCGCAGAAAGAAGACATGAAACAAAACATCCCCCCCCTCCGGGCTGCTTCCTCCC